CGGCAGAGCCCGAGGCGCCAGGAATTCCCATCGCGAGGCGAGCGTGTCTGAGGTCAGGGCAGCTCGCGTGTGATATGAAAGCTGCGACCACGCAGCAAGGAATATGGAGAGGCACAACGCCGCGGGCACGGCGAAGGCGGAAAGCAGTGGTCCTTGCAGTCCCCGGACCAGGGGTCTCCGTGCTCTGCCACGGGGCACAAACATCTTGAGCCAAAATGGCTACGGAGGAGGAGGAGGAGGAGAAGGAGGAGGAGGAGGAGACGGAGGATGACGACGACGAGCGAACGATCAATGAAGGTTTTGCGATTTTTGTGGATTGGGGGTGCTGGGGGGGGGGGGACGACCACGCCCCCCCCCCAGCACCCTTAAACGACGGACTTGGAGGGCATCGTCCCCATCATCATTCTCGTCTTCCTCCTGCTCTTTTCCCTCCACTTGCCATTCAGACAGTCGCAGTTCAGTCGATTGCAGCCGAATCGATTGCAGTCCAACCGATTGCTACCCAATCGCTTGCAGTCCAATCGATCGCACGCCAATCTATTGTAAGCCAATCGATTGCAATCAAATCGATTGCGCTCCAATCGATCGCAAGCGAAAGCCAATCGATTGAAAGTCCCCTCCACGTCGCCTCCCCCCCTTCCCTCCTCATCACTCCCTACTCCCCCTTCTCATCTTGTGTGCTTCATCCTCCTCATCCTCCTCTCTTTCCTCTGTCTTGGAGCCCGCTCGTAAGAAGAGTAGGAGGAGGAGCAGGAGGAGACGGAGGGGGAGGAATGGAGAGGGGGAGGGGGGGATGCTGATGAGGACGAGGCCTCTCCCCTCCCTTCCTCCTCCCAGTAATAACGCAATAACAATTCCTTCCTCCCTCCCTCCCTCCTCCTGGAATAGGAATACAATTCAAACGCAATGGGGATGTGACAAGCGTGCAATGATATCCCGTATCCCTTCACCTCCTTCTCCTTCCAATCGTAATACAAAAAACATAGAGCTTGACTGCACTACGAACATGCAGTGGGGATTCCTTCCCCCCTTCCCTTTCCCCCTCCCTTCTTCCTCCTCCAAGAATGGTGACATTAAAAACGCAAGTACATACAAGAAACATACAATATGAATGCCGTGTCCGCTCGCTTCCTTTTCCTTCCACTCGGAAGCCAGTAGGGGTGCAATGTGAATCCGATCGGAATGCAATGCGGATTCCTTCCCTCTTTCTTCCTTCTCCAATAGGAATACAACAGAAACGCCATATGAATGAATATCATTCAATAACACATCCTCGTCCCTTCCCTTCGTCCTCCTCCAATCGGAACCCAAATAGGATTACATTTCGAACACCAGAAGAATGCAATACGAAATCTTTCCCTCCTCCCTTCCTCCCCATCAAGTAATGATAGATTCGGGTCGCAATAAGAACATCATACTAATAAGAGGGTGCATCCTTTTCCAGTCCCTTTCTCCTCCGATCGGAAGACGATCTGATCACAGTAGGATTGCAACAATGATGCAATGAGGTGTCCGTCCCCCTTCCCTCCTTCTCCAATGCGCATATACTTGACATGTAATGACACCACGATCATCTTACAATAAGAGTGTCTCCTCCCATCCCTTCCTCCTCGTCCAACGGGAATTCAATAGGAATACGGTGCGCAATTATAAGAACGCAATATGAATACACGGAGCATCGAGTAGTGATTCCTTTTCCTCCCAATCCCTCCCCCCCGCAATACGAACACAGTACGAATGCAATAAGAATATGCCATCAGGATCCCTTCCCACCATCCTTCCTCATCCTCCAACAGGGAGGAAGGAGAGGGCGAGGACGAGGCCAGGAGCCTTCTTCCTCCACAAATGGAATCCTTATGTGGAGGCCACTCCACACAAGGAACCAATATGTGAAGGCTCCTCCACAAAATGAATCAATAGGTGGAGGCCCCTCCACAGATGGAATCAGTGCGTCGCGGCCCCCTCCAAATAAGGAGTCAATCTGTGGAGTCTCATCCACGCGTGGAATCAATATGTGGAGGTTCCTCCACACATGGAATCAATATGTGGCGGCCCACATCCACAGAAGGGATCAATATGCTGAGGCTCTTCGACGAATGCAATCCATGTGCGGAGGCGCGTGCACGTTTTGCATTGGCCGGCTGCTTGCGCAGACACATACATATGCGAAGATGTGCCGCGTTTGAAGTGGGGCAGTTCAGATGATGAGGTTCTCAAGGAAAGCAGGGGGCCGATGCCCGCGCGCCCCTGTTTTGTATACATGTATAGATACAAGGTTGCATTGGCGCTTCGCGCCATGCACCTTGTTCCTTGAAGCTTTGGAATGGTTGGCCCGTGGTGCCATCCTTCTTTCCATTTTAGCCGCGGTCCGCTGGTTCGTACTTCGGAGAAGCGCAGGAAGAGCAGAAAGGGGGGCAATCAACCTGGGACGGGCCAAAACTGCGAGTTGGAGGCCGCGGGCACATGGAATGGCGCATATGAGTGGGGGCCGCGCGGGAAACAGCTGGAACCCCGGGTTCGCGACCGAATTTCCGGAAAATTGGTTGCGAGCCCGGGATTATGAGCATGATGCGGCTATTCTTCAGGGAATATCAGATGAAGGGGGCGCGGGGCGGCGGAGTGGTGCGATTTCGAGGGCGGCGGGTTTGACGGGCAGGGTGTTGGTCGGCTTGGCTCTTGTGAGCCGTCGGGGCCCCCTCTTGAGGGCCGCTGGGCCGCCTTGGGGCGCTGAGGCCCTTCGAGTGGGTTCGCGGGGGTTCCCCCGGAGCCTTGTGGAGCGGTCTGACGGTTGCTGTTGCGGGGCAAGCAGGCCCGGTTGGATTGGTGCAGCTGGGTTTTGGAGAAGGCATCAGCTGGCAAAGTTTCGCAACAGTCGGTGCACGTAAAAACAATCTCCTTATGACGAGGCATGTTGCAACTGTCGCCCGCACTGAGCCCGAGGCTACGGATGCACTGAATAACGCAAATTCAGCGGAGTGACTAGAGATCTGCTGGTGTCCTGGGTTGACAACGGGATTTCCAGAAAAATGGTTGCGAACCCGGGATTGTGGCCTCTTCCTCCTCCTCCTGCTCCTCCTCCTTCCCCTCCTCCGCCTCCTCCTCCGCCTCCTCCTCCTCCTCATCCCCTTCCTCCTCCTCGTTTTCCTTCTTTCTCTGCCTTCTTCTCCTCCTCCTCCTTCTTCTCCTCCTCCGCTTAAGCCAATGGAAGATGAACGATTTGGAAGCTTTTTGGAGCTTCGCCGGAGCTTCCCAGGGAGCCTCCCGAAGCTCTTCGGAGCTCTCTTAGGGTCTCCTTGGGCCCTTTCGGGGCGGGAGGCTCGTATTTTCAGTTATCTGGTCCTCCCTGGGGCCCTTCTTTGGGCCGTCTCGGAGCGTTCGTGGGCCGTCCTGGACCGTCTTGGGGCGCGTCTTGGACCGTCTTGGGGCTTTCCAGGACGCTCTGGGAGCCCCTTGGGCCGTTGTGGAACAGTTTTGAAGGCTTCTTGGGCGGTCCGGGAACGTGGGAAACCCGAAAAAGCGAGGACGCTGAAAACATTGAAAACTAATGGGAAAGTAACATGTTTGAATGTTCTTGGAGCCTCACCGAAACGTCTTAGGGGGCCTCCCGAGGCCCTTTGGAGCTCTCTTGGGGCTTCCTTGGGCTCTTTCGGGGCGGGAGGCTTGTATTTTCAGATCGTGGTCCCCCCTGGGGCTCCTCTTTGGGCCGTCTTGGAACATTCGTGGGCCATCTCGGACGCGTCTTGGGCCGTCTTGGGGCTTTCTCAGAGCGTTCTGGGAGCCTCTTGGGCCGTTGTGGGGCGGTTTTGGGAGCTTCTTGGGCGGTCTTGGAGCGTCGGACATCCGAACAAGCGAGGACGCTGAAAACATTGAAGCACCAATGGAAGAGTAACAATTTGGGATGTTTTTGGAGCTTCACCGGAGCTACTTAGGGGGCTTCCCGAGGCCCTGTGGAGCTCTCTCGGGGCCTCCTTGGGCCTTCTCGGGGCGGGAGGCTCGTATTTTCAGTTCGTGGTCCCCCTTGGGGCCCCTTTTTGGGCCGTCTTGGAGCGTTCGTGGGCCATCTCGGGCGCGTCTTGGACCGTCTTGGGGCGCTCTCAGCGCGCTCTGGGAGCTTCTTGGGCCGTCTTGGAGCGGTTTTGGGAGCTTCTTGGACGGTCCGGGAGCGTCGGAAACCCGAAAAAGCGAGGACGCTAAAAACATTGAAAAACCAACGGAAATTCAATGATTTTGTTCTCTCAGGCCCCCTTTGAGAACGGTCTTAGGGCTCTCGCGGAGGGTCTTCAAGGCTACCCGGGTGCCATCCTGGACTGTCTTGGGTGTCTCTGTGGGCTTGCGCCGACCGATTTGGCACTGCCGCCCGCATGCGTGCACGCCTTGGAAAGGATTTTCGGCCGCCCCCGTGGCACGGATCTGGGGGGTCCCGTTTCGGGGGGGGGTCCGCACCCCCGGAATTATAAACATGGGAATGTGTTTATAGCGTATATACACATGTGAATACAAACATATGTACAGAGAGAGAAAAAGAAAGAGAGAGAGAGAGAGAGAGAGAGTCAGAGAGAGAGGGTCAGAAAGAGAGAATGAGAGAGAGAGAGAGAGAGAGAGAGAGAGAGCGAGAGAGCGGCGAGAGAGCGAGAACGAGAGAGAGAGAGAGAGAGAGCGAGAGAGAGAGAGAGAGAAGCAGCGATAGAGAGAGAGAGAGAGAGAAAAAAAGAGAGAGGAACGACAAGAGCGAGAGAGAGAGAGATAATAGTACAGAAAGCGAAGGGGAGAGGGAGCGAGGCAGAGAGAGAAAGAGAGAGAGAGAGAGAGAGAGAGAAGCAGAGACGAGAGCGAGAGAAAGAGAGAGCGAGCGAGAGAGAGCTGCATGGACAGCTGCGCAGACAGAGCGAGACAAGCGAGGGAGAGAGAGAGAGAGAGAGAGAGAGAGAGAGCTCGAGAGCTCGAGAGAGAGAGAGAGAGAGAAAGAGAGAAAGAGAGAGCGCAGCCGGGCCCCGCCCCGCCCTCGGCACGGCCGCCAGCAGCGCCGCGAGACCCGCCCGGCGGGGCTCGCGCCTCGCCGCGCGGCGGCGCGCAGCGATTCGGACGCCCTCGAGCCGTGGAATCGGGGGCGGCCAAGAGGGGGGCGTCCAAGAGGGGGGGGCGCAAACCATGGCCAGCGCGGCATGTGCGCGGCCCAAGGGGGCCAGGGGCGTAATGAAATAAGAAGAGGCGCCATGAAATCTGGGGAGATCTCGTGGCCCTCGCCATGATATCCACGCCCCCCTGGTCATCACCCCCCTCTTTGCCGCCCCCGGTGGAAACAGACGGGAGGGTTTTTCGCTATGGTGGTCTTCTGGTGCGCCTCGCCGGGCGTCGGGGCCGTGAAACATCGGCTCGGGGTACAAAAAGCCAGTCCCGGGGAACGGGTGGACACAGTGAAGCGGTCGGAACCGCGGGGGCCCGGGGAGGGCGGGGCGGCCGGGCGCGCTGGGCCATGAGGAAACTGCCGCAAGCCTCGCGCGGCAGCTTGGAACCTGGTGTGCGTCGGATTCGCGTCGGAGCGACGTGGGATTCACGTCGGATTCCTCTCGGACTTGCGTCGGAGCGCCGCCGCGCGAGCGCCGACCCGCATCTGTTGGAGCAGACGCGTGGACTGAAATGCTGCAACGACCGCGCGCAGCGCGAGGCCTTCAGGACTTTTCCCCATACGCTGGGCAACCCGGCGGCGCTCTGACCACCAGCGGCCCTGCGATCCGACACGGCCTTGCGATCCCCTCCCCGATCACGCCGGGGCAACCAAGCCGCATGACCACACCCGACGGCTGGCCCGACTGGCCCCGCGGCCACCCCGACGGCCACGCCGACGACCCCCCTTCCCAACCCACCCGCTCGACAACGGCTCTCGACACACTGCGAGCCCACGACCCCCACCACGGCTTAGATCTGCCACTTCTGACGACGACGCTGCGACCTCCGACTCCAACGGTTGCAGCACCGCCTCCACCGCCGACACTGGCCCCCGCACCACTACCACTACTCTCACCTCGGTGTCGCCTAGAACGCCAGCCACCTCCACCGCACCGTGTGCACCTGCGGCACAGCAAATGGCGCGCAGGCGGTTGGACAAGAGGAGCGGGCGGGGGGAGCGGGGACACGGGGGGCCACCGTGGGCGCCGACAGGGCGACCAACGCTAGCCGTACCCACCAGCCTGCCAGCCCTTTGGGGGCGCGCTGCCTGGGCCACACCGCCAGGGTTGGTCCCCCTCTTAGCTCCCTCCTCCCTCTGGCACGAGGCTTGGGGATCCCAAAACCGAGTGGTGACAGATCGTGCGGTGATCTCGGAACCCCAGGAGACCTCACCGCACGGCCCGTCACCGCACGGTCCGCCACCGCACAGCCTTGGGATCCAGGAGGCCCCTGTCGCCCGAAACGTGCTCGGAGAGGGACCCGAGCCCCAAAGCCGTGCGGTGACCCCGAACCACCACCGACTCACCACACGGTGTGGTCACCGCACCGTTTGGGGGCCCCAGGGAGGCCAGGACCAGGACAGCATCGGACCAGGATAGCTCGGGGATCTCCAAGATCCGGCACTCCTGGAGGGTCAAGCGCAGGAGCGGAGAGCAGGTGCCGTTCCCGAAGGGACAGGGGGGGAGAAGCAGGGGGACGACAGCACGACTCGGCGATGGAGGGCAGCTCGGCCGGACGAGGGGGCGGCGGGGAGAGGCTGGCGGCCACGGCCATGCCGTGGGCCCGCTGCTTTCAGGAGGGGAAACAACACACAGACACAGTTAATCGTCGATCCCCCAGAAAATATATGAAAATATGGGAAGTGTGGGGGGGGGAAGACAAAAACCCAGAAAATATTAGAAAATATGAGGAATCCTTTTATTTGTGTGTATTTGTTTGTGTGTCCCAGGGCCCCTTCATCCCTGGCGTCGGCCAGGGGTCGTGCTTGAGGTCGGAACCGCCACCTGCGCACAGCTCGGAGGAGGAGGAGGAGGCCGAGGCGCGCACTCGCCACTGCCACCCGCGGCGTTGGTCACGCCGGCCCTGCCCAGTCCAGCGGCACTGCGCCGCCGTCGTCGTCGTCGTCGTCGTCGTCGTCGTCGTCGTCGTCGTCGTCGTCGTCGTCGTCGTCGTCGTCGCCGTCGCCGTCGCCGTCGCCGTCGCCGTCGCCGTCGCCGTCGCCGTCGCCGTCGCCGTCGCCGTCGCCGTCGCCGTTCTCTTCCTGCTTTCCCTCCTCTCCCTCCCTTCCTCCCTCCCCTGGCCTCCCTTCCTCACTCCTCGCCTTGACGCTCCTCTGCCTGCCGTCTTCTCCTGTTCGGGCCAGCTCTGTCCCCTCCCTCCCTGCTCCCTCCTCGTCTGGCCTGTCCAGGGGACCCACCGACCAGCAGGGGGCGGATGGGGAAAGGGTGGAGGACCAGTGGAGGAGGGAGGGACGGGGGGAGGTGGGAGCGGGAGGAATGCCTCGTCAGTGGGGGGCGCCAGACGGTCATTCATTGTCCCTGGTCGCGTGACTGAAGTGGGATTCCGCGGTGCTGATTGTCGTTGCGTCGCTGCTGAGTTCTCATCATGAAGAATGCCGCAGTTAAAACTGATGGCAAGGATGCGCGATGAGAATGCAATGGCGTTAGACGCCCATGTCGAAGCTTTTCGAGCGGGGCTGGCCATCGAAAATGTTTGAGGATGGACCGACGATGACCCTGCAAGGGTACCCAATGGGACGTCGATCACCCTTAATATCAACGTTGACTATGATTATTGTTGATCCCCCCTTGCCTGGTGCCCATTGTGCTTTTCAATGAAAGAGCTCCTCCCGGGGCTCGTACCATGTTTTTTACAATTGAAATCTTGCGCCACAGATTGCGCTCCTGGCCCCCCCGGTTTCCAACAACAACGGCTACTTCCTGATACTTACTCACAAGTTATTGCCAAATCGCGCTCTCGCGCGAGACCGTCCCACTAGTTTTCCAGGAATCGCGCTGTCGCACGGCACGTCCTTGCTGTTTATGGAGACGCCGCGCCTTCGACAATCAGGAATCACGCTCTCGCTTTGGACTTCCTCACCATCTGCTTGGGAACCGAGCTGACGCTCAAGACTTCCTCCCGATTCGTGTTGGATTGACGCTTCAACGGCCCGCTCGCTCCGCCCTGCCGCCTGAGCCCGCCCGCCCGACCCCGCCGTCGGGCCCACCCGACCGACCCGCCCGTCTGGTTGTGCCGCCTGTCCTCCTGCTCCAGTTCCCCTCCTGCAGATCTCTCTCGCGCTCCATCCTTCTCTCTCCTCCTTGCCCCTTCCCTCTCCCCTTCCCCTGCTCCAGGGGCTGCGCCGACTACACGTGGCAGGTAAGGGAGGTATACTCCCAAAGGCACGATCGAAAACGAAGAGGGCGGGTATCGAGGGTTTGGGATATGTTGAACGACTCGCGAGCATATGACAACGAACGGTCTAGCATGAGTATTGACTTATCTTTCCGCGTGAGTAATTATGGTTGGTCCCCCTGCCCTTTGCACTTCGTGTTTTTCAATGAAATGCTCCCCTCGGGGCTCGCACCTTGTCTTTTACAAGGGGTAATCTTTCGCCTCAGATGGGGTCGTTGGCCCCCGGACTGCAAAAAACAATGGCGCCCCTCACAATTTATTCAACATCTCGCTTTCGCGCAGGGCTTCCATACAATGTATGCAAGAGTCGCGCTCTCGGATGGCACTTCTTTGCGATTTATTGAAATGCCGCTTCCCCAACACTCAGGAATGGCGCTCTCGCATGGAATGTCCTCACGATTTACTTGGGAATCGCGCTATGGCTCTATGGCTTGAGACATCCGCGCGATCCATGCAAGACTGACGCTTCAGAGACCTGCCCGCTTGACCTCGCCGTCTGGGCCCGCCCGCCCGACCTGCCTCGCCCGTCTGGTTCTGCCGCTTGTTTTTCTGCTCCAACCCCCCCCGCTGATGATCTCTGTCGTGCTCCATCCTTCTGTCTCTCCGTTGTTCCCTTCCTCCACCCTTCCCCTGTTTTGGGGGCTGCGCCGACTACACGTGGTAAGGAAGAAATGCCCCCATGGGGGGTAGATCGAAGACGAAGAGGGCGGGCATCGGGTATCGAGGGTTTGGGATATTCATGTTGAGTGACTCGCGAGAAACTGAGAACAGTCCTAATCTGATTGTTGCTGTAGCTTTGAATGAATTCACACTTCGCTCGAATAGTTATTGTTGACCCACCCTGCCCGGTGCCAATTGTGTCTTGAATGAAAATGCTTCCCTGGGGCTCGCACCTTGTCTTTTACGAGGGGACCCTTGCGCCTCAGCTTGCGCCCCTGGCCCCTGGTTTGACACAGCAGCGGGCTCCGTGGGATACTTCCTCACAGTGTATTTCAAAATCGCGTTCTCGCGCAGGACTTCCTCACACTTTGTCCAGGAATCGCGCTGTCTCGTGGTGCCTCTTCGCCATAATGAAAACGCCGCGCCTTCGACAATCAAGAATCACTGTCTTGCTTTGGCCTTCCTCACGATCTGCTTGGGAATCGAGCTAACGCTCAAAACTTCCCTCGCGATTCGTGTTGGATTGACGCGGCCCGCTCGCCGGACCCAACCGTCTGGGTCCTCCCTCCCGACCCGTCAATTAGGGTCCGCCCGCCCGACCGCCCGTCTGGTTGTGTCGCTGGTACTCCTGTTCCTGACCCCTCTGCTGCAAGTCTTTTTCGTGCTCCATCCTTCTCCCTCCTCCTTGTCTCTTCCATCCTTTTCCCTGTTTCAGTAACTGCGCCAACTACACGTGGCACGTAAGGAAGTATGCCCCCAAGAGGGGTACGATCGAAAACGAAGAGGTCGGGTATCTAGGTTTTGGTTTATCCATGTTCAATGACACGCGCTCGTATGAAAACGAACTGATCGTGGTTGTTGTTATTGCTGCTGTTTTTGATGTTGTTGGTGTTGTTGCAATTGAACTCTCATTTAAAAACATGTTGTTGATCACCCCTCCCCGGTAACCATTGTGTTTCCCAACAATTGTGTGGTGTTGGGTCATCGTTTTGAAGAGACGGTGCCCGCGTTCTCCTTCCTTCCTTCCTTACTTTCTCGTCCCCCTCCTCCTCCCGCTCTCCCCTCCTCACGTCACCCCCCTCACTACGACACACCCCTCACACGTTTCGTGGCCCCATAGGGAGCTCCACCGAAAGCCCCCGTAGCACCGTCCACATGCGTCCGCCACACTCATGTCGGCGCACCCCTCACATGTTTCGTGGCCCCATAAGGGGGCTCCACCGAAGGCGCCAGTGGCACCGTCCACATGCGTCCGCCACGCCCATTTCGGCACACCCCTCACACGTTTCGTGGCTCCATAGGGAGCTCCACCGAAGGCCCCAGTGGCACCGTCCGCATTCGTCCGCCACGCTCATTTCGGCACACCCCTCACGCGTTTCGTGGCCCCATAGGGAGCTCCACCGAGCGCCCCAGAGGCAGCGTCCACATGCGTCCCACACCCATTTCAGCACACCCCTCACACGTTTCGTGCCCCATGGGGAGCTCCACCGAAGCTCCAGCGAAGGCGCCAGTGGCACCGTCCACATGTGTACACCCCTCACGTTTCGTGGCCCCATAGGGAGCCCCACCCAAGGCCCCAGTGGCACCGTCCACATGCGTCCGCCGCACCCATGCCGGCACACCCTTCACACGTTTCGTGGCCCCATGAGGATCTCCATCGAAGGCCCCAATGGCACCGTCCACATGCGTCCGCCGCACCCCTGTTGGCACACCTTTCACGCGTATCGTGGCCCCATAGGGAGCTCCACCGAATGCCCCCGTAGCACCGTCCACATGCGTCCGCCGCACTCATGTCGGCGCACCCTTCGCACGTTTCGTGGCCCCATAAAGGGGGCTCCACCGAAGGCGTCAATGGCACCGTCCACATGCGTCCGCCACACCCATGTCGGCACACCCCTCACATGCTTCGTGGCTCCATAGGGAGCTCCACCGAAGGCCCCACTGGCACCGTCCACATGCGTCTGCCACACCCTTGTCGGCACACCCCTCACACGTTTCGTGGCCCCATAGGGGGCTCCACCGAAGGCGCCAGTGGCACCGTCCACATGCGTCCGCCACGCCCATTTCGGCACACCCCTCACTACGACACACCCCTCACATGTTTCGTGGCCCCACAGGGATCTCCACCGAAGGCCCCAGTGGCACCGTCCGCATTCGTCCGCCACGCCCATTTCGGCACACCCCTCACGCGTTTCGTGGTCCCATAGAGAGCCCCATCCAAGGCCCCCGTAGCACCGTCCACATGCGTCCGCCACACCCATTTCGGCACACCCCTCACACGTTTCGTGGCCCCATCGGGAGCTCCACCGAAGATGATACGCACCACTGCAATGCTCACAACTGCATATCGTTGGGTCATTCGCCGGGCTAATCCCACCAGCCCTTTGGGCGTGAGTGGTTTAGAGAGCTCTCTTGTCCTCAACCCCCCTTCTTCCCCTTCGGGGAGGGGTTTACCCCTCCCCCTACCCCCTCCCCCTGGGCCTGGAGAGGGAGTCCCGAGCGTGGTCAGGGGGGGTCTTTTTCGACTCCTGGTAGGGCTAAAAAACGACAGCCCTCACGAGGATTCTGGCCCCGAGGGGGGGGAGGGGACCGTCTGGCGCCTCCGCTCGTCTTTGAAGCAAAAATCATTGATTTTAGGTTTTGGCCCCATTTTGGGCTTCTGAGGGGGCAGCGCTCATCGTCCTTCATAGCAAAATCATTGATTTTACAAAGGTTTTGGGCTCATTTTGTCCTCCTCAGGGGGCAGCGCTCATTTGCGCTTCTGAGGAGGTCGCAAGAGGCCCCAAGATGGCCCCAAGAGGCCCCCAGGAGGCTCCCAAGAGGCCTCCAAGAGGCTCCCAAGAGGCCCCCAGGAGGCCCCAAGAGGCCCCCAAGAGGCCCCAAGAGGCCCCCAAGAGGCCCCAAGAGGCCCCAAGAGGCCCCCAAGAGGCCCCCAAGAGGCCCCCAAGAGGCCCCCAAGAGGCCCCAAGAGGCTCCAAGAGGCCCCCAAGAGGCCCCACGAGGAGCCC